CGGAGGAAACGAATAGTGCCCAACCACTTGGACGCTCGGGGATTGAACGCCGACTTACATGAAGCGAGACCGTCGCTCTACCGTCCACCCCAAGTGGTTGGACCGAGAGGATCCCAGACGCGCCTTAACCTGTACATCTTCCCTCACTCATGGCGGCTTTGTTCATAATTATCGAACAGTTTATAAGCTACGCAGCATTACCAAGTTGCTTATAACAATAATAACCTTGCTATGTGAAGTTTTGAACTCTGAAACTGTTTAATAAATGTAAGGAAAGCTGCCATCCTTGAGGAAGGATGCACAGGTTTCGTAAGTACAGTACGTGATCACTCCTGACCAAGGAGGAGTCTCAAGCAGGAAGGGAAACTCAAATGAGGATCAAAAGTCAAACAATCAAACATAACAAACAATTAGAAATCCACGGATAGTCTCAGGTATCAAAAATGATGCAAAATAATTACAAAAATACAACTCACAAATATACCTTTGGGCGTGAGTGCGTGCGTGCGTGCGTGTCCATAACACTCGCACACTTATTTATTAAAAAATCACAATCAAATTATGATAACTAAGGCACAAGAGCAGATTAATATTCAAATTGCATCCTGGTGATCTATGCAATTATTCAGTATTATAACAATCCGTCAAAAGATTAATTAAAAAATCTTATTCATCATTATTAAATTTCGGTAAACAAAAAATACACATCGTTTGATGAGCTGCGTCACAGGTGTGTTTTCCCGCGTAATTACTTTCCTTGCGGGAGGTGTTTCTCTCACCTGAGGTAGGGAACCTCAGTGTTTCTCTCACCTGAGGGAGGGAACCTCACTGTTTCTCTCACCTGAGGCAGGGAACCCTCAGTGCCTCACTGGGCCTTCTAATTACGTATAACACCATGAAGGAACTATAGGACCCGTCCTCGCGTATAGCGATATAGCGGTAACCAAGCCTAATGCTGGTTATTGACACCTAATTCTGGGTAACGAAGCCTAGTACACAGTAACGAGACCTGATGCTGTTATTGAAACCTATAGTTGGGTTTCTGTACTGAGGGATGTTTATTTAGTTAACAAAGCCCCAGTTAACATAGTGCGGATGTTACTTAGTTAACATTATCCCGCAGCTATGTTTATAAAACACCACCCAACAGCGATGTTTACTAGTTAACATTACGCAGTAGTGATGTTTACTAGTTAACATCACCCAGTAGTGATGTTTACTAGTTAACATCACCCAGGAGCAATGCTTACTAGTTAACATCACCCAGGAGCGATGCTTACTAGTTAACATCACCCAGGAGCGATGTTTACTAGTTAACATCACCCAGGAGCGATGTTTACTAGTTAACATCACCCAGGAGCGATATTTACTAGTTAACATCACCCAGGAGCGATGCTTACTAGTTAACATCACCCAGGAGCGATGCTTACTAGTTAACATCACCCAGGAGCGATGTTTACTAGTTAACATCACCCAGGAGCGATGCTTACTAGTTAACATCACCCAGGAGCGATGTTTACTAGTTAACATCACCCAGGAGCGATGCTTACTAGTTAACATCACCCAGGAGCGATGTTTACTAGTTAATATCAGCCTTATGGCACACAGTCTAGATGTACAAGACTCCTGTAGCGTCCTTTTCGACACGCGAATTAAAAAAATGGTCAGTTTCCGCTAAATTTGAGAGGAGGAATTGGAAGACATGACGCAAATCAATTGTTAGTACAAAGTTCAGCTGAAGCGTGTAAACACTATCGTCCATTTAACACAGATAATACTATACATTGTTTCCTTCCCCTGAACCCTCCAAGTTACCGACCCCTTTCCCCTCCCCTCATTCTTCTACCCTTTTCACCCCTATCTACCCTATCGCCCCTATACTTGTTATATATATTACGCCTCATCTCACCCCCCCCCTCCTATCCAACACCTTTTAATTCCCCTTTTCACTATCGTGGGTGTCAAGCCGTGTCCCTCTCTCAGACCATCATATCACTCTCCCCCCCGTCCGCCCATACATAACCATGTCAAGGGGAGACAATAGCTGAGTGTTCAACAGTATATGGCCACCAGATTAGCCATTCAAGGGGAAAGAAGGGGAGTGAAGTGGGAGATAGGCAAAGTAAGGGGAAGGAAGAGGGGAATGGAAGGGGGGGGGGGGGTAGGATCATGGGGAGAGAATCATAGAGAGGAGAGGACTATTACCGAAGTTAATTGAATATTTTGTTGTTCATAAATATACAAGGGGCTAACATTTATACGAAATATAAAACTGTAATGTATTAAATAGTTTCTCATTTATGCTTGACTTAATTCATAAAAAAATTAAAAAACATTATTCATTTATACGGGACAAAATATACAATACTAATAGCCTAACAAAAATTAATACACTTATAAATGTGTATTTATAAGTGAATATATTTAAACAATACATTATATTTGAACAAAATAATTAAATTAACACGTTCGTTATAAACGTCAGGAGATATAACACATTTTAATGCGGGAAAATCAATGATACATACAATTTTAAAGACACCGTAGCCTACATTAACATGAAATTATATACATTTTAAAATGAAAAAATGAAAAGAACCTCTAATCCATCTTCATCCGCCTACAGCCCACCCCCACCCCCTTTATCCCACTCATTGTTCCGGAAACTAAGCTAACCCACCGCGCGTTATAACCCCCCCCCCCCGTCCCCTGCAACCCACCCACCGCTCCCCACGGCAACCACGCCCCCCACCACCACGGTCCCTTATCCCTTCACAGCCCACCCACGTTAAGGGTGAGGTTTTTGCGCGGGGCGCACATGTCGCTGGCGGGGTGTGGGCAAGACCACGGGGGGTTGTGATACAGACATACAGACACAGATGACGCCAAGATCAACTGTGTTGTTGCAATGGTTATTGCATAAGCTCTTGGCCGGGCGAGGCGCAAGGAACTACAGGCTTAGTTTCAAGCTTTACTTTAGATGTCTTACTACTCAACAGTTAATATGAGGCTAACTTGGAGAACCGACTCTAAGAGTAGGAGCACATGAAGGCTACTCAATAAGTGTCATTGTATCATATGGTAGAGTGCTTGGCCCTGTTGTGGAATGTCTACCTTAATGATCTACTGCTCCTTATCCCTGAAGTTCTCATCTATGGTAATGACTTCACTCTTACCTTTACATATTCGAGAGAGGAAATGCTGACTGCTACAAGGCTCATTAATCACACCTTACAGCACTTTGTTCCTGAGAAAGGTCTTGGTAGGGTACGTCTCCATGGGAATAAAACACAAGCGATGATCATAACCAGACTGCCTGACACTGGTCCCTGTGACTGGCGTATGGCTGAATGGAAGAACTCTAGTGCTCGCTGATCTTCCCCGGGGGTGAAGTTTATCTATTCAGTGCCACAATGACAACGAAGAGTCATGTTATGAACCTATCTTGAGGTTATCTTGAGATGATCTTGAGGTTATCTTGAGATGATTTCGGGGCTTTTTAGTGTCCCCGCGGCCCGGTCCTCGACCAGGCCTCCATCCCCAGGAAGCAGCCCGTGACAGCTGACTAACACCCAGGTACCTATTTTACTGCTAGATAACAGGGGCATAGGGTGAAAGAAACTCTGCCCAATGTTTCTCGCCGGCGCCTGGGATCGAACCCAGGACCACAGGATCACAAGTCCAGCGTGCTGTCCGCTCGGCCGACCGGCTCCTAGCAAGCAAGCCAGGAAACTTACCATCTCAACAGCAGAGATTGCAAAACCTCATATGACGTGCAAGTTGGCTCAGATCTTGAGTATGCACCGCTCTCCTGCATGACCCGCCCTGTATCATCTTAGTCCTGACTCAGTCTGGTTAGACAGGTCGGTACAAACGAGCCTTCTATACCGCAGATATGTTAGGGAACTTATTGTTCAGTATAAGACCAATGTTCTCAAGGATGCCCACCTGGCCCTACTTCGTGGACAACTGGACAATTGCAAGCACATCACAGAGCCACCAAGAGCCTTATGCTCTCTGTGTCATTCTCAAGAACATCACTTGCTCCGTCAACATTCATTCCTACGCTGATACGCGCTTGAAATATAATTGTTCTCTCAACACTTGGATACGCGAGACAGGAAGTCAACCCACCGCAGGAAGACTCAGGGAACAGTGTCCTAAAGTTTCATCTTGTTGCTAACATTAATGTAACTTTACACTAAATACAGTTTATTCGTAATGAAAAACTAATGAGCTCATTAAACCAATTTCTAGGATCAGACTTCCAATGCGCAGATGTAAGATAACAGCTATTAGAGAGAGAGAGAGAGAGAGAGAGAGAGAGAGAGAGAGAGAGAGAGAGAGAGAGAGAGAGAGAGAGAGAGAGAGAGAGAGAGAGAGAGAGAGAGAGAGAGAGAGAGAGAGAGAGAGAGAGAGAGAGAGAGAGAGAGAGAGAGAGAGAGAGAGAGAGAGAGAGAGAGAGAGAGAGAGAGAGAGAGAGAGAGAGAGAGAGAGACAGAGAGAGAGAGACAGAGAGACAGAGAGACAGAGAGACAGAGAGAGAGAGAGAGAGAGAGAGAGACAGAGAGAGACAGAGAGAGAGAGAGAGAGAGAGAGACAGAGAGAGAGAGAGAGAGAGAGAGAGAGAGAGAGAGAGAGAGAGAGAGAGAGAGAGAGAGAGAGAGAGAGAGAGAGAGAGAGAGAGAGAGAGAGAGAGAGAGAGAGAGAGAGAGAGAGAGAGAGAGAGAGAGAGAGAGAGAGAGAGAGAGAGAGAGAGAGAGAGAGAGAGAGAGAGAGAGAGAGAGAGAGAGAGAGAGAGAGAGAGAGAGAGAGAGAGAGAGAGAGAGAGAGAGAGAGAGAGAGAGAGAGAGAGAGAGAGAGCACAGCAGCAGTCAGAAGAGCAAATGCACCAATGTATCCGGATTAGCCTGGCTGGGGGCCGGTTATCCATGGATTATGTGGGCGTCGAGGAAGCAGCTGGGAATCACAGTTGATGCGTTTAGAAAACGCGATCGAACCACAGATATCGTCGGTGGAAATAAACACTATAGCATCATATATCGTCGGTGGAAACACTATAGCATCATATATCGTCGGTGGAAACACTATAGCATCATATATCGTCGGTGGAAACACTATAGCATCATATATCGTCGGTGGAAACACTATAGCATCATATATCGTCGGTGGAAACACTATAGCATCATATATCGTCGGTGGAAACACTATAGCATCATATATCGTCGGTGGAAACACTCTAGCATTATATATCGTCGGTGGAAACACTCTAGCATTATATATCGTCGGTGGAAACACTCTAGCATTATATATCGTCGGTGGAAACACTCTAGCATCATATATCGTCGGTGGAAACACTATAGCATCATATATCGTCGGTGGAAACACTATAGCATCATATATCGTCGGTGGAAACACTCTAGCATCATATATCGTCGGTGGAAACACTATAGCATTATATATCGTCGGTGGAAACACTCTAGCATCATATATCGTCGGTGGAAACACTATAGCATCATATATCGTCGGTGGAAACACTATAGCATCATATATCGTCGGTGGAAACACTCTAGCATCATATATCGTCGGTGGAAACACTATAGCATTATATATCGTCGGTGGAAACACTCTAGCATCATATATCGTCGGTGGAAACACTATAGCATTATATATCGTCGGTGGAAACACTCTAGCATTATATATCGTCGGTAGAAACACTCTAGCATCATATATCGTCGGTGGAAACACTCTAGCATCATATATCGTCGGTAGAAACACTATAGCATTATATATCGTCGGTGGAAACACACAAGCATCATATATCGTCTAGCATCATATATACGTAGAGGCTATATAGAAGTTATACGTAGTTATACGTAGAAGCTATATGGGAAGTTATACGTAGCTATACGTAGAGGCTATATGGGAAGTTATACGTAGTTTCATATGTAGATATAACAGCCCAATACGTTTGGCAACTTGTACATCAGTTTATTGAAAAAGAGGCGAGACCGGAGCCAAACATCAACCCTGCAAGACCAATTAGGTAAATTATGCAAGTACACACACACACACCACCACCAGACTAGTCCCGGAATTGAGAGGTATGAGCTACGAGGAAAGGCAAAGGAAGCTGAACCTCACATCCCTAGAAAACAGAAGAGTAAGGGGAGACATGATAACCACCTACACAATTCTCAGGGGAATTGACAGGATGGACAAAGACACTGTAGCACGGGTGGAACACGAACAAGGGGACACAGGTGGAAACTTAGTATCCAAATGAGCCACAGAGACATTAGAAAGAACTTTTTCAGTGTCAGAGTAGTTAACAGATGGAATGCTTTAGGCAGTGATGTGGTGGAGGCTGACTCCATACACAGTTTCAAATGTAGATATGATAGAGCCCAGTAGGCTCAGGAATCTGTACACCTGTTGATTGACAGTTGAGAGGCGGGACCAAAGAGCCAGAGCTCAACCCCCGCAAGCACAACTAGGTGAGTACAACTGAGTACACACACACACAAACTCCCCTCCACCACCACCACCTTACCATCTGCCTGCTGGGAACTCAGAGACCCGACAGGACAGCAAGTACTGGGAAAACCTTTTGCAAGGCACCAGTCCTGCAACATCCACAGCTCAACTGATCCAAATTAAACCAATCGCGCAACCTAACAGTGGTCACCCAGCCTGCTCCACCTGCCAGCCCGTTCTCTTGATCTGCCACTCCGTAAACAAGCCAACCTTCTAACTAAACCAGAAACCTACGAACCCACGTAACCAATTGAGTCCGATGCATAGAAAACGTAGATATTTGTGACCCGCTGCTGCTTGTCACAGTAGGTTGTATTTGTAACGTTGGTTTCCATAACGTAAAAAACGTGACCTATTAGTTGAGAGAACATGATACATACAAATACAGCCTGTATAAACACCTGGCCTGAATATACATCCTGTTAGTATTAATATTAATGCAAATGCAACATTGAAATTGCGAACAGTGAAATATATCCCGACGATAATAATGATATAATTGTCTGACTTTCCAACTGCACTCGAGAGAGGAGGGGGGGGGGGGGGGGCGCTCCTCATGCCGGGGATGACAGGTGATGTTGTTGTTGTTGTTAAAGATTCGCCACTTGGAACAAGCAGTTCCAAGTAGCACGGGCTATGGTGAGCCCGTCATGACAGGTGAGAACACCGGCTCACTACCCGCCGTGGCAGGTGGCTGCGTTCAACCCGTCCTCCTAATAGAACGTCACATTTTGACGTACACTCAACCTAAGGCCAAAACTTGTCGTACTAGAAAATGGTAGCGGCTCGCGAAAGTGACATACTGTCCCGTTTTCTGTTTCGGGTCCTCTGGTAGGTTAGGATAGGGACACTTTAGAACGACAGTTTCTTGTCGTTGGGAAAACTTGTAGACATGAGCTGGAGGGTGACTAATCTCACAGTCCTCACCACTCCAAGTTTATGTATTCCGTACCAACCGGGCTGTGGTGGGTATGTGGGGCCTGCGGGTCGCTCCAAGCAACAGCCTGATGGACCAAACTCTCACAAGTCAACTCTGGCTTCGGGCCAGGCTTGGGGAGTAGAACAACTCCCAGAACCCCATCAACCAGGTAACCAGGTAACCGGAACTGCATCAGACTCTTTCCACATCATTTAATACAAAGTCATTAGGATTAGGAGAAGTAAAGCAAGATTCCCCGGAGAGACGACTGGACAAGTGAGGATTGGAGAAGAATCTCCATTTCTATTTATCGAGATAGGAGAGAGGAATTTCCGTTGAGGTCTAATAAAAACCTTTTGTGCCTTCTGTAATCCTTTCTGCGCTACCGCTCACAGGATCAGTATGGGGTGCACAATAAACTAGCCGCCTCCAACGGCAACAATGAAATAAAAAAATGGAGAGGAATAGTGTGCGAGAAGAAACATTTTAGTATGAGAGATAAAGCCGGGACTTAACCCCAGCTTACGCACCGGTCATTAAACCTGTGTAACCACCCGGTAAGAGCTACTTGCAACCTCTCCAGTTGCCTCAGCTATTCCAGTATTATTAAAACTATTCTCATAATATTTTCAAAGTTTGCAAGTACTGGCTAACAGATATTATGAATGCCACACCATTCTGCGAGATGGGGGATCCTAGTATCACATACAAGTACATTATCCCCGCTCTCCACACACTCTGTAAAACTTCATATAGTTATATAGATGCATTTTAACACAATTAACTACTCATCGTCTCCTGTCATACTTCTTTCTACCATAAATCGAGTTCTCGGCGACTATAGAAGGTGAACACGCACGGTAGCCTAGCACGGTGGCGGGCGGCAGCTCACGGCTCCACTTGTGACCAGTCAGCTGCTGGTGTGGGACGAGGGACACGCGGCCTTCTCCTCCCAGTTACCTCCCAGCCGCGGTAGGGTAAACATCTCTCCAGTGAGACAATATCTAGATATCTCTCTATCACACGCACACATCCCTCAAGTGAGACAATATCTATCTATCTATCTATCTATCACACACACATCCCTCAAGTGAGACAATATCTATCTATCTATCTATCACACACACATCCCTCAAGTGAGACAATATCTATCTATCACACACACATCCCTCAAGTGAGACAATATCTATCTATCACACACACATCCCTCAAGTGAGACAATATCTATCTATCTATCACACGCACACATCCCTCAAGTTAGACAATATCTATCACACGCACATATCCCTCAAGTGAGACAATATCTATCTATCACACGCACACATCCCTCAAGTTAGACAATATCTATCACACGCACATATCCCTCAAGTGAGACAATATCTATCTATCACACGCACATATCCCTCAAGTGAGACAATATCTATCTATCACACGCACACATCCCTCAAGTGAGACAATATCTATCTATCACACACACACAATAAGGGCACACTGCCTACTTTCCCATTGTTGACAAATGTTCAAATTTTTATTACACAAATTAGTGCAAATATTTACTACTCGTCACTTTATACAAAGATTTTTGCTGAAATAAGTATCTTTTTGGCATATTTTGTTACCTGACTCGAATACCTTAGACCTGAGAGAAAGTTACTGAAGTTTATATTATTTATACTTTGGTAATATTATTGCTCGATTTAATATAAATCGCCTAAATTGTTATTGAGATCCTGGAGTTCAGGTTTTGGAATGGAACAAGTATGAAAGGCGAAACGAAAAGTTTGAGTGGCACTGGAAATGAGCTTTAGAAAAAATACTACAATAAAATATTGGCGTAAACGTTCAACAATAAGATCTGAATTATGACACTTTAACTAAAGTATAGAATTAAACCGTCACAAATTATTTTTTGACTGAAACAAGGGAAGGAAACATAATAACTAACTATAATGAAACACTGGAACAAAGCACAATTGTGAATCACTAGAACTAATCCTGGTAATAGAAGACTGAAACAATGGTCTCAGAAATAAATAAGTGAAACGAAACTAGTATTGAAACATTGAGATAAAACCCTGGGATAAAGCGTTTTGACGAAACACACAAGTGAAAAACACACACAGGTAAGAAGTAAAGAGGATAAAGGTATTGAAATGTAGATGACAAATGAAGACTTCAGGTTTGTGGAGGCGAGGCTTGCAGAGTTTCTCCACAAACGCACACGAGGAGTCACAATAACGTGGCTGAAATATGTTGACCAAACCACACACTAGAAAGTGAAGGGACGACGACGTTTCGGTCCGTCCTGGACCATTATCGAGTCTAGAATGGTCCAGGACGGACCGAAACGTCGTCGTCTTTCACTTTCTAGTGTGTGGTTTGGTCAACACTTTCTCCACAAACCCCTGGTACCAGGAGACACAACAGCGAACACCTCCATTGTTCTACCTTTTCATATCATTAATAGTTTTCACGTGGTGCAGTATGACTGGCTTTCAATGGAACAGAAGATCTGTGTAACCGGCTGGATTGGAATCTTTCTGATGGAAGGTGTTGGGCAGAATGTTATATAGGTATTCTTATAAGGATTGGCAGGTGGAAAGGATTCAGTGGGGATAGGTGATAACATTTTAAATAATTTTGTTTAATAATTATTTTCAAACTAATAATTTGTGTATTTAATGTAGTGTGGTAGTAATTCACTTTCAAAGTGACAGTGAGGGTCTTATTCACTGTAGTGTTCAGTGAACAGATAATTTTTGGTTAGGTTAAACTGTTGGAGTAATGTAGCCTTCCTGTTGTATCTTGTATCTTGACTGTTGTATCTTGACTGCTGTATCTTGTTGTACCTTGACTGTTGTATCTTGTATCTTGACTGTTGCATCTTGATTGTCCAGAGATTGTTTTCCAGGCCTCTAGAGATCGTTATCCAGGCCTCTAGAGATCGTTATCCAGGCCTCTAGAGATCGTTATCCAGGCCTCTAGAGATTGTTATCCAGGCCTCTAGATTGTAATCCAGGCCTCTAGAGATTGTTATCCAGGCGTCTAGATTGTTATCCAGGCTTCTAGACATCGTTATCCAGGCCATTGATTGTTATCCAGAGATTGTTATCCAGGCGTCTAGAGAATAAATTTCGCTGAAATTTGACGTAGTGGAAGGTGGTATTTCCTCGACTCAATAACGGATTTGGTCAGTATTATTTATCAATAATAACATTATTATTATCATTATTGTTATCATTATTTACGTAATTTTAACTGTTGTCGTTGGCGCTCTTGTTAAAATAATATTTTTGAATCACTTGTGGCGCCGGAGTGACGTATTGTTTTTAAGAGTACATTACTTTGGCGCGTCACTGACGTATTTTCACAGGACTATTTTGGCGCGTCACTGACGTATTTTCACAGGACTATTTTGGCGCGTCACTGACGTATTTTCACAGGACTATTTTGGCGCGTCACTGACGTATTTTCACAGGACATTAGTTTTCCACTGCATTAGTAATTTGCTTTCACAGGACATTATTTTGGCGCGTCATTGACGTATTTTCACAGGACATTATTTTTGCGCATCACGGACGAATTTTTTTTCGCAGAACATAATTTTGAGCCAAATCTCTGAGGAATAAATTCCCAGCGATGGACCCAGAGGCTAACTTGACATTAAATGACACGTGACATTTTCAGAGAAATATATATTTTTCCCGGTGATTTAGAGATTATCACTTATTTTATATCAATTATATGAAACAATTTAATTTGAACACGAAGAGTTTAAATTTATTAACACCAAAAATACTGCAAAAAATCGAAGCTACGAATTGGTTAAATTTATTATTGATATTTTTTCAAGGCTCTGGAAAGTGTAGATAATTATCGGCCACCAGACTAGTTCCAGAGCTGAGAGGTATGAGTTATGAGTAAAGACTTAAGCCCCCTCATCGCTAGAAGAAAGAAGAAACAGAGGAGACATGATCACTACATACACAATGAACGACAGATATGATCAATATATTTTTCAGTGTCAAAATAGTATAGGAAAGCGGTATAAGTGAAGTAATAAAAGCAGACTCGACACATAGCTTCAACTGGAGATATGGCAGAGCCCAAACGGTTCTGGAACCTTTACACCAATCGTTTAAGTATTGAGAAGCGAGACGTAAAAGCTGGAGCCTAGGAGCTAGACCTCTCTTCCATGCATGGCAGTACTGCTAGTTATGAGGCGAGACCCGAGAGCTAGAGACCTCACCCCAAAGCACAAACCCTCATATATAAACTACTTGTTGTTCAAGACTTTGTCCATATGTTTTAAACTCGATTAAAGAAAAAACAATTTGTTTCTCTGTGTTGAAACTTCGTTTTTAATATTATAAGCACTTTTGTACGTTATTGAATGGACAAGGTTAGAATACTATT